TAAGAACAGGGTTTTGATAATAGCCTTTTAGAGAATTTTAAAAGAAAATTTATCAGAATATAATGTAAGAGGGCTGGTGAGATGGCTCAGTGGTCTAAAGCGCCTACTTAGAACAAGCTTAGCTAAAGCACAGGGACCACGGTTCAATCCCCCAGCACCATATGCCAGCCAGCCCCGCCCCCTGGTGAGCTGAGCTGGCCACACACACACACACACACACACACACAAATAAATAAAAAATTTTTTAAAAAACTTTAAAAAAAAGAATATAATGTAAGAAAGAAAAGCAAACATAACATTTATCTGAAAAATTTTGATGAATGAATATAAATTTTTCTATAAATGATCCAGATAATTTGAATTTTAAATCCCTTAGCAATTACGCAATAGGCAACTTTCTGAGTATTTGATCTTCACAAAACCTTACAATTTGGTCCCATTACTTGTTGACCCCTGACTGCTGTCTAGGGAACTGAGACAGAAAGAGATAATACCTTTGTCAAAGTTCATACTATTTGTGAACAGTAGCACTGCCCATCTGGTCCCGAAGTCTCTTCACTTAGCCACTGTACCAAAGGGCAGCTTGCTACTTTGTGAAGCAATTGACGTTATCAACTCATACACTTGTCTTAAGTAAATGGTGAAGCAGGCATTTTAATCTATGTTAGATCAATCCTCTTTCATATTATTTTGCCCCTCACATTATCATTCTTTTTTTTTTTTTTTTTTTCAGAACTGGGGATTGAACTCAGGCCCTTGAGCTTGCCAGGCAAACATTTATTCCACTGAGCCATCTCCCTGGCCCCACATTATCATTCTTAAGCTTCATTTTAAAGAACTGGTGTATGTGCTTCTACACTATTGGCTTTCTTCAGCGAGTATTAACAGAAAGTATCAGTGTGAGGAAAATTCCGCCCAATTCCACAACAGAGAAAGCACTAGAAAGGGGATTGCATCCACCAACCACTAGCCACAGTGTCAACTACCAGGGCTTGCTGGGGAATGACGACCTCAGTGGGTCATCTCTACCTTGGGTGCTGTGTTCTTTATTCCTGGGAGGAGGTATGGTTGATGGAATAGGCACTAGACCATGAAGAAAGAGAGCCAGGTCCTAGTCTCAGAGAAGCATCCAGTGGGCAACATGCCATGCAACAGGTTGGGCACATCATCTCTGCTCTATATCGTGAGCTCCCTGGGGCCCCCTTCAACTACCCCACACACAGGCGCAGCAACCAGTTTACAGATGAAGTACTGAGATTCAGAGCATTAAGTAAGTCAGTCAGTATCCTAAATGATATCTAGCCCAAGGCTGTCTGACTCCAGGCTTTATGTATACTCTTCCACACTGTCTCTCAAGTCACTTTAGTCTTCTGAATCTCAGACTGCAAACATAAAGTTGCTGTATATCACTAGGAATTCTCAGAAGATGTCTAAGAAGTCACTTTGGGAAGGAGATCCAAGGAGACTAGGATCTATATTGCTGCCCACCCCTGATATGCATTAGTCATCACACACACACACACACACACACACACACACACACACACACACACGCCCCACTGAAACAGCACATAGCAATGCTACATTCACCCAACTCATCAATTTCATTTTTCACATATAGATTGAAGGGAAAATATGCTTCAAGGAAAGTTTGGGTATCACTCTCACAAGTGAGTTTTATGGCCCCTTGAGCTTTAATATCTAATACTGGGCCCAAGCTGCAAAGGCAACAGCCATGCCCTGACGTTGGTCATGCGTGCCAGTCAAAGGCTGGTGATTCACTTGGCTGGGTCTATCCAAAAGACACTTGCTGCCTTGAAAAGCCTGAACAGCCACTACTCTAAACATAATTTGAGAAAGTGTCTGATGGTTTCAGCAAACATGGCCTTCTCGTCCAGGGCCAGTGAGAACTATGGGATACATTTTCTCCTTGTGGCCACTACCACTCTTTGAGGATTTCAAACGGTCAGGGATGAAAGTGGTTTAATTTTAACTCATTATTTTTCTCTTTCTCTCTTACTTCATATTCTTTGTAGTCTACTTTCAATCCTGTCTCACTCGTCTTGTCCTTGATTCATGTCGTAGACAAGTAAAGGCTGATCTGATGAATTCAGGTCCAGTGAGATAGCTCAGTGGACTAAGTGCCTGCTTGGGCAAGTGCAGGGACCAGAGTTCAATCCCCAGTCCTGCATGCCTGCATGCCGAGCTGGCCCTGCCCCTAGGGCACGCTGAGCTTGCGACCAAGTCCGGGTACGGTAGTGTAGGCCTGTAATCCCAGTGCTGGGGAGATTGAAAAGAGGAAGATCACTACGAGTCTGAACTGCATAGTGAGAGTATGTACCAAATACATAAATGAACGAAAGAAAGAAAGAAAGAAGTGAATGAATTCATTTAGTCCTTTAAGCCCTGCTTTTTGTCTACCTGTGTTCCTATAAAGAGCAAAGCACTGATACTTAGACAGTCAACACTGGGCATGCATCTTGATGAACGTACAGGGATCCACCCCAATTCCGCAGGGCCCGTCACCACAAACTACATCTGTAGAAAAGAGTAAAGCTAACAAAAGACCAAGAGTTAACCATAGTGACAGTGATAGCAGCATTGAAGAATTTATTGAGGTGTTATTCAAGTATAAAATTGACGCAGTATAATGAGCAGTATAGTGATTTTTAGTCAATACACAGAGTGGTAGAACCATCACCTCAGTCCAATTTAGGAATAATCCCATCACCCTCCCAAAATTCCCTGAGTATATTTTCAGTCACTACCTATTTCCACCTCCAGTTCCAGGAAGTCACTAATCTACTTTCTAGCCTATTCTTTTTAAGGTTCATCCATATATTAACATTATTAATTCTTGATTCTATTTTATATAACACCTCTTTGGATGGCAGCATTACTGTGACACTTCTTTGGGCAAATCCCTCCATCTTTCTGAGACTTATTTATAGAATGAAGGTAACAATCTGTCCTCAGATGACTATTCTGCACAGTAGCTGGATTGTGACAGCAAAGAGGAGGGCCTCAAATCCAGCCTTTCTGTCTACTTTTCCCAGAAACTTTTCTTTTTCTCACCACCTTTATACTGTAAAATGTGTCTTACACTGCAATCCGGTCTTCACATAAAGCTTGAAATAAGAACTCACGTAGCAAGAGATATCAGGAAAGGAATTCTGCCAAAGGGAATCACATCCTTCATTAATGGAGCCCAGATGGCAAGGAACTAAAGGGATTTCCTTCAATTATATCGCTGTTATTTTTTATAAAGAACATTAAACTGCATTCAATTTCTAAAGAAGAAAAATGTGTCAAATTCGACCTCAGACTGTTTTACAGAGTTATACTTACGTTTGAAAGGATCTAAGGAACACCATATTTTCTCACTAATTCCTATAAAACTGACCCTATTAGAACCTACCCTCAGATAATAGACAGGAAAGTAGTAAAGGGCTACAAAGCTGGAAGTAAAAAAGAGTCCACCCCTTAGAGAGCGGGTACAGTTTGCAAATCCTCAAAAATCAACTTTTGGCAAATAGCTTCACTAGTTCTTCACTAGTCCTTGAGAGGAACTGAATGTCCGATGAGGGCAAAAGAAACCAAACTTTTTGTTCATTTCTCCAGTCCACCTTATCTGCTTAGAATGTGTTCTCATTTTGAAATCAACTTAAGGGGATTGGGATGGAGCACCATCCTAGAATCTTAGACATAAATATTATGAAGATGCTATGCCAAAGCCCTGAGTGTAAAATTTCCTCTCTTGAGTAACTTTTCTTCTGAGTCATTGTTTCTCCATACTTTGTAATCCATCATTCCTCCCTTTTATGTTTCTCATTGTTTTTTCGCCACTTGTTCAGGCTTTATCACAGCATTTCTTGAAGGACTTCCCAGGTTCACTTCCTTTTAAGTACCGCATAAAAGAAAAGGCTAGAGCTTCTCAATAGTCCTACTAAAATAAGTTCATAACACTTCATTTATCCTTCACTTGGTATAAATTAGAAAGATGCGTCTTTTTATGATATAAAATGCCTGTTGTCTAAGTAAGTTCATTGACACGCAATACACCGCTTTCCAATCTTCATGTACCAGCAATAACTACTATATATATGTATTACGGCATAAGGATAGCAAAGAGAGATTGGGTACAGTTCCCACAAGTGATCAATCTGCAACTTTATCAGTTGAACCTGACTAATCTGCCTTCTATTATACTAAAGTTATACTGACCCAAGTAAACAGGTAAAGGTTATCTTGTGTCTGAGCCAAGAAATTACTCAAATTTGAGGATTCCTATGTTGTTATAAGTACTTCACCTACAAACAGCAATTGTTAACTAAACCCTGGCTAACTTTTCAGTAGAGAAGTTTTCACTTACTCTGTTATCACCTTGCATGGAGTAATTGTGATTAAAATGAACATATATTATGGGAGGACAAAAAGTTTAAGTTTACCTAGATTTATAAGTTTCCTCAACCTGTAAAACAATTTAACTTACTTTAAAACTTCCCTTTTGTATCACTACAGTGAAAAGAGTAACTCACATCCTAGACTTTATTTTAGGGCTATAAGGTGGTATCCTAAGAATTTTTCTCATGATACAAATAGTTCAGTAAATCTGGGATTTAGCGACATTTTTCCTCTCCATAGCACAGATCCTATATTGGATAGCAGATGACCAAATAATCACGAGGCACATGATTTACCTTCACTTTGATACTCAAACAGCCCCCTCAAATCTTAAACACTAAATTCCAATTTGCAGCCACATATTGGAAATTAATTAAAGAAAAATATCAATTAATGACGAAAATCTCCCGTGTGTGTGTGTGTGTGTGTGTGTGTGTGTGTGTGTGTGTGTGTGTCTGGAGAATCCTAATTTCAGGGTACTCGGCTACAATCTCTAATTTGCAGGCATCATCTTGGAGGCCTGAGCCCCCATAACATTTGGCCAAGCATCCAAGCACCATGAACACGAATTGCCAAACAACGCCAAAGGCTCCTACCCTGAGATGGCAGCCAGTTTTTGGTGTGCCTGACGGGCCATTTCACAGCCTTTGGTTCTTGTCTTGTGCATTTCCGCCCGCAGTGAGGGACAGCTGACAGAGACGTCCCCAATAGAAATGACCAGTTCTCGGTACAGGGCCACCTGCGTGTTGAACTCTTGGACAAGCTAGAAAAGAGAAGCCAGTTTCTTCCATCAAATACTCATCTTCACAAAGTTTCCCATTTCACGGTCCATAAACCGGAAACCTCACTGATCGCTGAGCCAGCTCCCCAAATCGCCAGGCTTAGAGACCTTTGAATTGCTCAAAGCTTCAGGTACCAAGCAAATCCAGGTCTGTTTCCCCAACAAGCCTGTGCAGCCCTCCTGCTCCCACCCGTTAGACTCAGTTTCTAAGAAGCAAGCACATCTTGGAAGAGCTACCATGTCACTCCCATGTCATTAGATAAACATGCTGGGGACGTTTACCCCTCTGCTGCTTGGATATGGATTTGGAGTGGCACCGAGGAAAATGACCAAAAGTAGGGTGTTAGAGGCCAACCGTTCGCCTCCGGCGGGGCCCCTGAGCGCCCTGGCTCCGAGCCTGACAGCCGGGCAGAGAGGCCACAGCCTCCGAACCCGCGTTCCCTCCGCAGCGCTCGGCGCGCTCTTTGGGGCTGTTCGCTACCGTTTCGCCACAGAGTCGCCTCCACCTCCCCACCCCTCCGACCCAGCGAGCGAGCCGGTTCACCCTGCCTTTCCCCTGCACTGTTTGTCCAGGGAATAGAGGTACAACCTGTGTAGCCTCTGACTCCCAAGACTCTGGCCGTGACACTTCTCTCCATAGGGCCATTACAACCCGGGTGTCACCCCGAATCGGGGGACTGCAGATTTAAAAATAGTACTCGTGCACGTGATCGGCATGGAGGAGCTGAGGGTGGGAAGCGTCTGGCACTCAACCAAACGATTACCATACAAGACTCCCCCACCCCCTCTAAAAAAAAAAAAAAAAAAAAAAGAAAGAAAGAAAAAGCAAAAACGGTGTACATTTCACCCACCATCTTGCAGTCGTCCAGGGTTCTTTGGGTTTTGTGGGCGCTTTCGGAGCCGCTGCCCCTGCGCTCCCAGTCCCCGCTCTGCAGCGGAGGCTTGCTGATCTGGAAGATCGAGGAGCGGGTGGACCGGCTGGGGCGCTTTTTGCGCCCATTCGGTGCAGAACTCATGCATACACATCCACCAAGCCGAAGCCGCTGGTGCAGTGCGCCCCTGCGCGGGCGGCCCGGTGGTTGCCCTGCACGCCGCGGCCAAGCAGCCGGAACCCGGACCGAGACGCTCAGCTCACAGGGCTGGGACTGGCTGCGCGGGCGGGTAACCTTCAGCTTGAAGGAGAGCCGGGGAAGCGCGGGCTGCGCCGCGCAGCATCGCTTCCACTAGCAGCGAGGAAGGGGCGCGATCAAGTTCTGCTCAGCAGCATTGCGGGCCGGGTCCCGGGAGTTGGGCGCTGTCGCGGACGCGCCGCGCTGTCCTCTCGGCATGGATCGCGCGGCTGAGCGAGGAGGAACGCGCAGCCCTGCGGGGCCGAGTTTCCATTCAGATGCGGAGCAGCTCTCCAAGCCTGCGCTGCAAGGTGGGGGGGCGGGAGGGGGTGTCGCTCTGGCTTCGCTGTCTCCCTGCAGCGGCGCTCAGTTCATCTTTTCCCTCTCTCCACAGTCGCCAGGCCTGGAAGGGCTGGCTGAGTCCGCTGCAGGCAATTGGCTCTAATCTGTTGCCCCGATCCTTCGTCTCTACGGGCTCCTTGTTTAAGGATCTCAAAAGAATCCGTGGCGGGACCGGCAGACGCAGGAAATCGGTCCGACTGACGTTGGTCGAGGCCCCGCACATTGATAGGACGGGAATACTAATGTGATCCGTCCATACAAACCCCTTCCCCCACCCAGATTATGCACTTATCCAATCAAATCCCCAGGAACATCAATTGCAATATTACTTCATCTTGTCTATTATTAGAATCGAAAAGTGTCATCAGAGTGGAGCACATTGCCACATGGTGAGACGTAAACATGAATTTCAAACAAACCAATGGACTTCAGGCCCTCACCATCTGAGAGCAGGTGACTGTCTGGGGCCAGAAAAAAAGAAGGGAGGGTTTTGCCTTACAAGGAAGATCTCGTGACAACATGAAAGAAATGCTTTGCCTCTCTGAGTTGTTTTTGTTTTCACTTTGTCTTCGTTCTTGCGGGAGGGGATAGGGCTGGTCAAATGCGGAAGGCTTTCACCCATTGCAACTTGTGAAGCTCTTGGCCTTGCAGCACAGTCTCAAGAGTTTCAGTTCCAAGCGAGCTCTAAGGGTGTTTTCCACAGAGGCTTGAAGAAGAAGCAGGCAGCAGGCTCCTCCGGACACTCGAGATGACCTTTTCTGGGAGGACTTCATTACCCCTTAGGCTACTGGAAGTGGGCTTGCCTGGAGAGGGTGTGAAGCGCCCAGCTTCTTAAATTCACTCTGACCCTGCCTTCTGCAACTCCCCTGTGAGGCAGAGGAAGTGTTGTGGACATTCAGCTCTACATCCTAAGAACACTTCTTCCCATAGATGATTTGTTTGGAAAAAACAGCTGAGAGGCATCAGCCACCAGGCAACTACTTAAGTTGAAAAACCTAGTAGGAGTAAATCACAAGTTCCTAGGGATGTGGAAAATCACAGAGAGCCAGAACTAGGCCGAAGGGCTAGTATCTGTGGTTCTAGCTATTTTTTTTTTTTTTTAAACAGGACAGGTGATATCTCATAAGACAACTATTTGACCCTTGTCCTTGGTTCCTGGCACAGAGCCCCTAAAATGGAACTTTCCTTGACCATAATAGTGAAAGGAACATCTTGTTGCCAGAAAGACCAAATTAGAAGATTGGAGTTTTTAGCCCTATCCCCACTTCTGGGAAGGGAGAGAAGGGAAGGGGAGGGAAGGGAGCTAAGTGAGTGAGATACCAATGGCCATGACTTAATCAAGAATACCTCTTTAAAGAAAGTTTTGTAGAAACCCCTAAGTGATGATGGACCTTCTGGATAAGTGAAAACATCTAGGTGCTGTGAGGGTGTCATACCCAGAAAGGACATGGGTGTTGCCTGCCACTCCCTGCCCATACTTTGCCCTGTGCATTTTCTTCTGTGTGTCTGTTCTTGAGTTGTAGCCTTCATAATAAACTGATAGCAGTAAGTAAAGTGCTTTCCTAAGTTCTGTGACTCATTCTAGCAAATTATGGAACCTGAGAGGGAGGTTTCTGGGAATTCTTCAATTGGTAGCCAAGATACACAGAGGAACAGGTAAAGGGAGGGGACAGCGACCTAACACTGGCATCTGAAGTGAGGGCAGTCTTGTACGGCTGGCCTATAAAGCTGGTTGAATCTGATGCCAACTCTGTGTTGTTAGAGAAATGAGTTGAACTGTAGGACACCTTGCTGATATCAGAGTAATGTTGGGAAAGACATCATGTATTTGGTTGGGGACGAAGAACAAGAACGGTTAGATATCCAGGTGCATATTCAGCTGCATATGCACATTACTTCACAAAAACCAGTCAGTTTCCTCTACCAAACAATAGGGGAAAGGGATGTGGCCTGTCCCCCTCAACTCCATCCATCTGTGTAAACTGTGATCCTTTAGATGTTTAGATGCCCCAGAAACTAGTGTTAAAAGGCTCTCCTATTGATTTTCTCTCCCAAATATAAGGTGGCAAAGAAATAAACTCTTAGCCAGCTCCCCGACTGTTCCCTTTTTTCCTCCTCTCAATTTATTCTCCACTGTATGTGTAAAATCAGAAGACACTGAGGCACAAATACATGAGGTGCCTGGGATTTGGTAAAAATATGGGAATGGTGAGAAGACAAACAAGTGAAGAGCTCAGGGACTTTTTAAAGAAACGTATGACAACTCATTTATAAACTTGTTCAGTCCCATGATACAAAACCCTTTTGGTATAATCAAGCAATCCTGCCAAGATCCCACCCAAGAGAATCTGCTTTAGCACATAGTTGATTGATAGGGCTTTAGAGAAATGATTTGGGGCTGGAGAGATAGCTCAGTAGAATAAGTACCTGCTTGGAAAGCACAGGGTCCTGAGTTCAATCCCTGGTACCGCAAAAGAAAAAAGAAAGAAAGAAAGAAATATTAATCATGTGCATTCATAAGATGGGGAGAACAGCCTGCTAGAAGTGTTTCACTAGTATCTTTTTTTCACCTTTCCTCTTTGCAAGAAAATAGCGACTTCACCAGATCTGAGCATCTCAAAGCTCCTCATAGTAGGCTTCTACTCCAGCTATAACCATCTGTTTTCTACCCCCACCCACTTCTGCTTAGAGAGAATTTCATTTTTTTTTTTTTTTTGGTCAACAAATTAAAAGGCAAAAAAGAAAAAAGAAAACCACCACAATTGCGCGTCTTGTTTCTATGCCATATTTTTTGCAGGAGGTGGGAATCAGGAGGGGGAAGGAAGAATAAATGGGCCAAATGCAATGCCACATTGGGAGATTATAGACACCTACTGGGTGATTAAGCAGAAATGATTGTTTGCAGGTGCCCCTTGGCTTTCCTGATAGTGGACAAACCATTTTCCTAAAATGGGAGAAAAATAGCCTCAATTCCAGAGCTGTCTCTCCTAACAACAAATGCTGTAATCAGAATAGCAGCAGGCAGGCTTAGCTCCTTCACCTTCCCCCACACCCAAAGGCAGGATTTGTTTCCTGCGGCTGCCTGCCTGCCACCAGAAGGGCAAAGAAAAGTTGGAAATTTCAGCAACAAGGGCATGTTTTCTAGTTACTCAGATCCAATTTCGACACATCTCTGATAATAGGTCCTCTGTAGGTGTCATGGTTTTAAAAAGGATCACATCCTAGATCCACTCCAGGATAAGATACTCCTTTTATTTTATACTTTCTCTATGATAGTTCAAGATAATTCACTTTGATTCAAAATGAGAGAGAGAGAGAGAGAGAGAGAGAGAGAGAGAGAGAGAGAGAGAGAGATAGTAGGAGAGTATTGATTCAGAGTGACTATGAGTAACTGGTATAGAGTAGTTCCTCTGCTCACTAATTCTTTCCATGATTCTGGTTGCAAATTAAACTGGACAAGAACCCAATCCAATTTCCCTATAAGTTCAACATTGAACCTAACTACTAAATTTCACTCAGTTTCTTCCAATTTGGTTTGAGAACTAGAATCCTGGAAAGAATTGAGTTTGTGAACCAAGATACCGCTGTATTTCTTCAAACTAGTGCCATAAGAAACTTTATTAGGACCCAGAGTGGGACACTTCAAACTAGTCTGATCTCCCACAGAAGAAAACCCTAGGATCATGTTCCATTTGGAACTACAGTTCAAGGAGTTGGCAAGGTGAAAAGGGCCTTATATGAATGGGTCTGTGATAGAGGCAGATAAAAATACACTAAGATACTAGTTCCAGAGACTGGAATCAAAGTTCTGATAGCACCAAAGGGGAGACACTAAATTACTCTGAAGAATTTAGAGAATAAATTGTGTAATAAAATCTTATTTTACTCAGAATAGTAAGGAAAACACTATATTGGGAAAATTTATTTATTAATTTCCCAAACTTTTCTCCAAGTATTAAATAGGGGCAGATCCAGGTATGTTGGTCTTGCAGCTTAAGAACCTCTGCCCCCTTGAGGCAGGGTCTTACGATAGAGCTCAAGTTTGTACTTGAATTCACTGTGTAGCCCAGGCTGACCTCAAACTCACAGTAATCTTTCTATCTCAGCCTCCCGAGTTCTGGGATTACAGGTGTGTGCTACCACATGCAGTTAAAAGCCCATGTTTATTAAAAGGAGTTAAAAACTTTAAATACAAATTCAGATAGGTAGTCTTAGGAAAATCCTATGCAAGTGAGGCTACCTGAAGTTTATGCTTCATAAAAACCTCCCATCAAAAAACAAACAAACAAAAAGCTCCAAAAAACCTCCCATTAAATTTCCATCATTATCTCTTATATGTATCACAGGCACTTGGTGTTTCCTGGATCAGATGTTTCCCCTTTTACACTGATAACATGTCACATTTCTTTAGAGAATTTAGCTTTCTCCCACTTTCTGCCTACAGGGCTCTGTGACTGTATATATGGCTAAGCTTGGCCAATAAAACACTGCAATCAGTGGCCACATTGATTGGTTAAGTAGTGAAGTTGAAATATGAGCTGAACCAATGAGAATTTTTCTGGAGCTATCAGGTTGAAACATGAGTTACCATTATTCAACTTTTTTTTTTAACCTAACATAAATATAAATGTTATATATTTAAATCTAATATTTAGGGTTTTTTATTTTTCCTTTTCTTTCCATGGGTTTATAGGTTGGTTAAATGAAAGCCTGGAATTTCTGGTGGCTGCCTTAGCCAGTTATGGCCAACAGACTCCCTGAGACCTATTTAATAGGATAAGAACCACAGAAGAGATAGAGAAGGATTGATCCTTAGTAATATTATTGGAGTATGTTTACCCAGCTCTTCTTTAAGTCAGACTATCTCTACAACTTCATTTAAGCAAGCCAAAAATTTTCCTTTTAAATCAAGGCATTTTGATTCTAGACACTACTTGCAAACAAAATAATCTGTTTTTAAAAAATGTTTTATTTGATATATATTTTTTTTCTTTTTTTATTTTTTAGGGAAGACTCTACAGGGTGTTCAGGGTCTCACTACTAGATTGGACTCATAGCGATCCACCTGTTTACAGCCTCTTAAGAGCTGGGATTAAAGGTGTGTGCCACCACGCTCAGTCTCAATTGGGTCTCATTGTACCCCCGGGGATGGGGCTGGCATGGCAAGCCCTGGGGTCAAACCCCCAGCACCTATGCCTGCTTGCAGGCACTTTAATCTGTTGAGCTATGTGGTCGGCCCTTTTATTTGATATTTTAAAAAATCATTTATT